CCATATAAAGTCGTTTCTCTTTTTCTTTATACGCTCGGCGCCTGTGCCGTGTGTCCTCGTCTTGTGTCGCCGTTTCTTAGCGCTATTTTCAGTCGTCATGTTACACGAGTCTGATGGAGGAAATTCAGTTCTAATTGCGAATGCAGTTTTTCCTCCACAAACTGCATCATTTAGTTTTCCGAATGAATATCAGAGGAGAATGAGGGAGGCCGAAGTGGAGAAGTGGAACGGCGGAAGGGCGAAGGTGAGCGGCGTCTCGTGTCTCGGCTGTTCTATGGTGTAGTCGATGCCGGAGGAGATGGAGACTGGTGCGGGGGAAAAGAATAACGTCGACCTTGATAAGAGGCTCCACTGTACAAATCCCATTCACGCATGTCGTTCCGACGCTCATCATGCTGGCGCTTTCGGGAGAAATGAGATATGTGGCCGCGAGAGCCACTCTAGTAGCAGACAGGGCGGGACGAGCGCCAGGGTGGGGAGTAGAAGGCGTTCGGGGCCCCTGGAGATAGCGCGGTCAGGTGGGCCGAAGAAGGGTCAGGGGACATCGGACGGTAGTTCACCGGGGGAGCGGCAGCGACCGACGCGTACGATGCTAGCGGCAACGTCGTGTTTACCTCGCTGAGAGGCATAGCAGCGACCTGCGCGTAGGTTCGTATGGGCCGAGCCGAGGGTGACCGGACGTGAGCCGGAGAGATCAGAAATGTCAGTTCCTCCCTGATAATTTCGCGTAATGTCGCTCCCGTAGACTGTGGAGAACATGGTGGAGAAAGTGGGAAACCCAAGTTCTGCAACTCTTCACGAATTATGTCTCTTATGAGGTCCCGGAGAGGTCCGTTAGATTGTTCGCCTATGTCTGGTTGTAGACGAACAGAGTCTAGAATATCGAGGCGCTGACATGTCGTGACGACGTCGGCTATGGTAGCCGGGTTCTGAGCAACCAGTGCATTGAAGGCAACAGGGTTTCTATCCTTCATAATGTGGCATACTTTGTCGGACTACGGCATAGATGAATTGGCCCGCCGGCAGAGCGCAAGAACGTCCTCGATGTACGACGTGTACGGCTCACCGGAATGTTGTTGGCGAGTGTCGAGGGTTCTCTTCGTGACTGCGGACCGAACCGCCGGTGTGCCAAAAACGTGACGTAACTGCTGCTTGAAGGTAGCCCAGTCGGGTATGTCGATTATGTGGTTAAAGTACCACGTCTTCGCCACACCGGTCAAGTAGAAAGATACGTAGCGGAGCTTGGCGCTAACGTCCCAGTGATTAGCAACACTCACGCGGCTGTACTCATCGAGCCAATCTTCTACGTCTTCCCTGCGACGTCCGGCGAAGAAAGAGGAATCACGCTGGTGGCCGTGTACGTACACAGGAGGCGCGGCTGAAGACGGCGGGGGAGAGATAGCAGCAGTGATGGTAGCAGCGCCAGCAGGCTCGTTCTGCGACATGCTGCCAGACAGTTGGGGCAATCAGCGGCCTGAAAGCAGCTCCAGGAAGTCGAGCGAAGTGGGAGAGGACCGAGGACCAAAAATCCACCTCCACCATGTATGACGTCTGGGTTGAGACAGCGTTTATTCAGCCCAAGGGCTCAGCAACGAACGGGCAGACCGAGACCGAACGTGCACACACCCGATGATCATTGTGGTGACACCTAGTGAAGATGAGGACAGGAACCCAGACGGATGATGATGATTATGCATATATGAGAAGCGCATAAGAATGCCCACGATATATATATATATATATATATATATATATATATATATATATATATATATATATATATATATATATATATATATATATTATATATATATATATATAATTATTTCGAAACAAGTAATCAAGGAGTAATAATCAGTAATCAAATTAATTGCTGCAATACATCAGCAACCTTCCTGTCACTGAATAAGCCCTCCCCCCCCCCCAAAGAAAGTACATTTGGATTGTTTATAGTAGAGCGGGGTAAAATGAGGCACGGATCAAAACGCGGCATAACATAAGTCATTTTATAACACAAGTCATTTTATATACGCTTAAAGGAAAAACCTTGATAAATAAGATGAGCTTATTTCTGGGCTCTCAGCAGTTAGACATGGTTGATTCTGTTAGTATTCTTGGTGTATATTTTTCACGACACCTCACATGGAATGTACATGTTGATATTCTATACTCTAAGATGTCATCGGCCATTGGTGTCCTTGCACGTATGCGATCTCTTCTTCCCACTAAGGTCAAAATTATGATATATAATGCACTGGTATCATCTTTGTTACAGTACTGTAGCTTAGTGTGGTGCACAACCGGTGTGACGAATTTGCGCAAGTTGCACTTACTACAGAAAAGGGCCGTACGACATATTGCGGCTGAACACTATCTGTCCTCTACAAAACTTCTTTTCTAAAATATGATATTCTTCCAGTTTTCTTTTTGTACAACTATAGGCTGATGTTATGCTATAAAGAGTTTGTCAAACATTGTAGCAATACCACAATACATCTTGCTAAACTTAGCGCAAACACAAGTGTTCGACTCACCAGGCACAAAGAAGTTTGGACTGTACCCACCCCAAGAACTTTTTATGACAAACAGTCATTGTCCTACAGACTACCTTCTTTGTTAAACTTTTTAAACCGCGAAGATTTTGATCCTTCCTCTAAACAAAACTGTCAGATTAAACACTTCGCCCAACTGATACATTATCCTCAATGATACATCTCTCAGAATTTATGCCCATTCTTTCCTTTTTATTATTGCTTTTCATGTTCATGCCACTTCATGACCATACATTTGAACTACTCTCTTTTTATCTTAGCACTGTTTTCATAAACTTTTTGTATTACTTTTTGTGATGTTATACCTGTATGTTTATTTCATATTTGTTGTACATGATTGACTGCCATTCCTGCTGCTTTGTCAACTTGTCAACGGGGTCAGGACCTCGTCAAGCTCTTGAGCTTTTAGTCCTGTACTCCTTCTTATCTAAAGGAAACAAGTTGATTGATTTATTGATCGGTTGATTGATTGATTGATCGGTTGATTGATTGATTGATCGGTTGATTGATTGATTGATTGATTGATTGATTTATCGGTTGATTGATCGATCGATCGATCGATCGATTGATTGATTGATTGATTGATTGATTGATTGATTGATTGATTGATTGATTGATCTTGATTTTGTCGGCCTCAGTAGCTGATACAAAAGTTGTTTTTCCTAGTTCCTCCTTTGCAGCGATAAGCAGTGGCCCTTGTATACCTATTGATGTTTAAGTGTTGATGATTACTCACTGCGTATGCGTGAAAAAAATTACGCGGATGGTGTCAGTGTGTTCGCGACTCGTCAAAAAGGGCGTAATTAGGCTCGGCCAAATTCGGGATCTGTGCATGAAGCTACTCCTGCGTCAGTACAACAAGGTAAATAAATATATTGTTACTTTAGACTGTACGAGCTAGATAACACAAAAAGGTTATTTCATTTGGTTCTTGGGGACAAAGCGGGAATTTTTCTGTATTCTGGCATGTGAGGAGGGCAAGGGGGCAAAATGCGACAAAAAGGCATCCAATTGCCTTGGAGAGTGTCTTAATAGATTTACCATTGCTTACACTCAATATTTATTATATTTCTTTGTTTGAAATGGTTTCTAAATGGAAGATAATATCGCATAGAGCTTCCCAAGAGAAAAACGACATGAAAAAGTTCTGATTGTCGTTAAAGGCAGGACTCCCTGCATTCTCACTGCATCGAGGTTTTTCCGGGTTTGCAAGGCTGCTCTCTAGAGACGCATAAAAATGGCGGAATCTCCAAGTCATGTCATCCACGAACACGTCTTGGTGTTGCGTTTTAGTGACCTTTTTTCATTATCCTACTAGCGTTCCGCGGATGTCGTCTGCTCTATGCGCTAATTGCGGGGACACAAACGCATGCGAAAGGCCCGCACATTAGCCCCGCATATTGTTGCAACTTACAGAGAAAAAATGAAAAATAAAAGACGCGCATATCCTCTTATTGCGTCTCATTATTTATCTCAAATTTTACTACCGTCTTCAAGCAACCAATTGCAGAAACTACGCATGTCTTGTTAAATAGTTTGCGCCATGTCACGTGCCACTGTTTGCAATGTCAGAGCAGAGTCGTTCGTCTACGTAGAGGACCAACGCCACTGCACTGCCGTGTACGTAGGGAAATTCTTACGTACACGGAATTCCCTCATTCTCTGGGCGCGCGCCTGCGAAAGGAAGAGGGAGCAGGGTTCATCTTGAAATTTGACCAATTTCTGCGGCCCGTAGCACTGCGAATTTTGGGAGACGTGATCGTGAACGCCCGATCTGCGCATTGCGCTTGTCAGCTCAAAATCGTCAAACTGTATGAGTGGTCCTTTAAGGTATGATTCTTCATCTTCGTCAGCCACAGCATAAAAACTTACACAAAATTCTTTGCAAGTGTGTAGCGGGTACCGAAGAAGAACAAATTATGGTACAGGACCCAGAGTGGATCTGAACCATACATTTAGGCCATCATCATTATCATGAATGCCTCCCTACTAAACAAAAATTATGATGATTTACATTGCAGTAGGTACACTGCTAGTGTGCTTGTAGCAGATCTAATAACCAGTTATTTTTAAAGATCTGGTTATTTCATTGAATGGAATACTTTGTCACCTGTTTTATTATTTCTATCATTGAAGTGTGGGGTTCAGCATCTTGCTAACAAAAACGCCGCTATAGTTCGTTTTCTATTAGATAGGCTGCCAATGTTAGTTTGTTTTAGACAAAACATAGTACACCACTGTTTTCGCATTGCGAGCCCTAGAGTGTCATATTGTAAAAGAGCTATAGCGATATATCCTACTCGCAATCCGCTAAGCAAGCCTTGAGACGCATGTACTCGACCCAATTAGAATTTCATATCACCCAGTAACGGAATTTTTTTAATGGCTGCTGCACCTTCTCGTTCGCCAATTTCGAGCAGCACTGCCCGTGAAGCTGAAAGTACTTACCATTTCGCAGTCGATTGCATAAACCCCAGGGCAGCCGCCGTCGGGTTGTGGACCCTTGGCAACTGTCGACACAAAGCCCGTCAAAAAACTTGGGTCAGGCCCATCGTACACGTGACCCTGTGAAAAGTAAAAGTAGGTGCAGATGAGTCAGTGGGGTACACCAGATGGCAAAAAAGTAAACGTGTCTCATAAATTTTCTAGCACACATTGAGGTCATATACTACGAGCTTCCTTGTGTAAATCTAATGGACAAGTAATAATCTAGATAGAAATCAGAATGGAGGTTGGTTGACAGAAACTTAGCATCTATTTTGATAAGGTACCTTATAGGAAAGTATCGTTAGCGCAGAATTCATTGAGTTCATAGGCCTACAAGGTATTAAACAGCAATCGACGCATGACCAGAACATTTTTTGGGGCTGAAATACTAACCGTAACTATATTCATGCTTCACTAAGCCGGTTCGAACAGAGAGGTACTACGCTTTACCAACAACTTTGGCAGGACTATATAAAACTGGTGGTCACCTAATTCTTTACGGAAATTGTAAAACACTCTTGCAGCCAACAGGCTGCAAGCACAGAAAATATTGCGCTAAATACGACCAAGCAGTAAGGTGCGCATTTGGGGTGGTTGGTTCATAAAACGGCGCTAAAGGAGACTGGACAAGACAGGATGCGGGACAACGGCAGTGACTAAAGATCAAATGTGTTCATTTTTTTTTCGGACCGCATATGGGCCTACACACTTTACTGTTATCGCAATGAAACAACAGAATATTTAAAACTGAGCCTGTGCAGAGGCCATGCAGTGATCATTAGGCCAGCCATTCGATCTCGTTCGAAAGGCTTACAGGTGCTTCGCCGCTATTGTCTATACGATAAGCATCTGAAATGTTGTATCTTTAAAAAATGGCTTATGTTGTATCTTTAAAAGATGGCTGGCAACCACAATCGTTACAGAGGAGTGATAATTTACTATCTGTAGATTCTTTTTGAACCTTATTTGAACGCTTACGCATCCGGTCATTAGCACTTCATCCCGTTTCACTGACATAATAATTCCCGCAAAAATAGAAATCTTTATCGATGTACTATCGATGTATACTGGGTGCTAGAGAACACGCACGAGAATCAGAAGGGGACAAGCGCAGCATACCACGCTGTATACATCGATGATTAATCACCGACTGGCCCAATCATCCACCTCGATTGACCTCTATATTGACACATGCTACCAAGTATATAAAATTTGACCAGAAAACGAAAGTCTAATGGTTTCCCTGCCGACAACGTTCTTGAGATTTTGCAGTATACCTTGCGCTGAAAAGGGTATACTCACTCAAGTTTGCTGCGAGTACGTCCCGTGTGGAACAGAAGCTGAACGCTTGTTTCTAAAACCTGCCACACGGCCTTCGACAATGTTAGTCGAAAACGTTGCCGAGAACCCTGCAAGCTTCAGAATGCCACTCGCGAAAGAAAACTTACTTCTCATTGGTGGTGACAAGACTTGTCAAGTGCTATCTTCTTGCAAGCTCTTGCAAGCTCTTGCAATGCCCTATGTAACGATCTTCGAGTGCGCAGAGGTAAAAGGGAGAAGGCTCTTTTGAGACCTTCGCGCGTAGCCCCAACAAACATAGCGCTTTGAGAACAAAATATCCAAGTCTGAGTGACGTCTAATGATGCTCAGTGGTCAGTTTAACAGTTCTTATTTCTTTGAGAAACACGTCTTAAATTTTCATTCCAGCTGCCAGGATTTTGAGTGCTGTAAAAGGCTCAAACGTCATGCACGCATCGGATGACACATACCGTGCTCGTCTGACTTGGCTTGATCTCAAAAATACTGCCATAGCCGGTTAACAGAATGTGACTGACGATGGGGGTGATGCGTGAACCTGTGGGCCCACCTGTTTCGAGCCTATGCTCGCTATGTTTTCTCAATGTGCACACTATCCCACCTAGTAAAATCCTTGTGTTAAGCATACTGAGAAGTAAACCGTTGCGCGAAGAAAGAAAGACGTTTTCTAGAGCCGTACCCTTTCTTCTGCTGGAGATACGTGCCTTTTTTCACGCAGCTGTTTACTTCGAATACATTTTCAATGTCCATCTCCATCGCTGCTTATCGGTCGGGCAACATTGCGATCATGTTGCGAAACTTCGAAAAGGCGGACAAATTTACATCTGTCGCATTTCAACGAACCAAGTCCGAATACGCAACAGATTATGACGGCAGAAAATTCCGACGTCTACAATTTTTGGACAGGTCACATTGCTTCTACCCTGGCATCTATCGCGACGAACACTAACAGGTCTGTTGTGTCAAGAGGTTTCTGAAGTGCCGCAACAAGTTTTTCGCGTCATTTTATGGGCATTTGTGTTGCAACCATTTGATGTCTGTTCCCGGCTGAACTATAAACCATTACAGAAGTCTTCCATCTTTCTGTTTTAACTAAACACAAATGTTTCTTCGTGCACACTTGCATTATATTTACTTCTAAAATCCCCTACACTTTCCTTGGTATTATTGTCTGCTAGTTCTCACTGATGCCTTCAGCTAGAGAGGGGTAGCATTCGAGAGATTAGTGCTCAGCTTCGAGCTCGTCTTAAGATCACGGGCTGCATGGCGCCAACAGAAAAAAAAAGTGTCCCACACTCGCCGTACTGGCTACTGGCGATGCTGACTTGCGCCCTCGCGTTTAGGTGCACATATATGCCCTATAAAGTTCACGGATGAAGACCACCACCATAGCTCAATTAGTAAAGCATCAGACGCATTATTAGAAGGACGCAGGTTTGGTCCCGAACCGCGGCCACTTATCTTTTCGTCCACTTTTCTTCACATCCTCAATACAGTGACTGCTTATAGCGTCTTCGATACTTTTCTTCGCATCATTGTCTATCAGTTCTCGTTAACAAGCGCCCAAATTCACATCCGTTGCAACGACAAAAAAAATGTTTGTAACGCAAGAAAAAAAATGTCTGTCGCTGCATATGGAATCTTGTAGCAACAGCGCTTTCTGTTGCCCTTACGGTAATTTTGCCACTGTCATTGCAACATGTCGGTCACTCTGGCTCTGCGACTTTACTTTATTGTCTGCAGGAATAGCGCAAAGTTCTGCAACCGGTACACCAGCAGATGACACGGCCAACAACGTATCCTTGCGCACGCATTGCATTCTATAGGCAGCGCACAATCTTCACACAGGCGAATCCGGGAAAAAAAGAGAGGCAGCACTCCCTGCATCTTACCTGGGACACGCAGCATCCTGTCATTGTTTCGATGCCTGAGCAGCAGGTGTAGTAATACATAGGTTGACCCGAGAGTACATCTGAAAGTGAATTGAAATATCAAATTGTATCGTCCGTGCAGTATAAAGTCGTTTTCTCTTTGTATGCGAAAACATTAACATATGAAGACAAACATTTCATTTTTATATGCTAGCGAAATTATCGTTCATAACGTGTTTTTTTTTATTCATTCTGTGGCTGAAGGTTGATTAACATTGTAGACTCAAGTATTCTGCCCTCGGTCCTCTTCTGCTGGCACTGTGTACAAACTATAACATCATTTATTCGCTTTCGAAGAAAACCATACCATCTAAAGAAACTATCGTCTGCAGATACAGCGTAACCCGCGTACATCGTACTCACGAAATAATAATAATACTAATGAACGTGAATTCAATATATGGCACCCTACGATTAAAAGCTTTCAATGAGTTTGCCGTATGTTTGGTACGTATACCCGTGAGCAAGTTGGATTCAAAGCAACGCTTGACGATAATCCAGAAGAGCTGGATTCGCAGCAATGCACGTTTTAGGGGCAAAGCAGATTAGCGTCGAGGCCCCTCGGTTGCTGGGCTTTGTTTGTGCTCATGGTGACGATGACATTGATGACGATGCCAGGTACTCTCTATACGCCATGATGATGACGATGACGACTGAAGATTAGGCGCGTTCCAGTCAACACATTTTCTTTCTGCTGCGAATGAGAACAATCGTTAACGCGCTTTTGCCCGGGAAAGGCATTTGGATTGGATAAACTTTATTTGTGCCTGCAATTAGGCACTCACTCGCCCCAACGGGGGCCTACGTCGTCTTCGGTGTTACCGTTACTCGGTGCGGGTCTCCCTTTGCCATCGCTGGCTCATTGGGTTCCTGCCTTTCGAGCACGCCACGAGGACTTGCTGGATGGTCCAGAGCTGTTCTTCCTGGTTGTAGCTCTTTGCGGCCGCCATGAGCCGCAACGGGATTGTTCTTGATCTTGCTTCATCTGGGTGTTTGGTGCAGTCCTACAAGATGTGCGTGTGATCAGCCGTCTCTCTGCGACAGAACTTGCGCTTGTCGGTCGGGTAAATCTCGGAGTACATGCGATGCATCAGTGCCGGGCTCGGTAGGGTCTGGAACTGTCTCAGTAGTACTGCCTCCGCTCGAGCCAGCCGTGGGTGCGGGAATGGGGAATTCCTGCGAGCCAGGCGGTAGGCATTCGTGAAATCGTTGTAGTCCGTCATGCGGTCATTGGCTTCGAACCACGTTGGATGGTCTGTCGCCGGGGCGTGGTTGGTTAGCGCTCGCGCCGCTGCGTGTGCCGTCTCGTTGTGGTTGTCATTGCTTTCCGACGCGTCGCCCGCGTGCGCCAGGATCCACTTAATTCTTATTTTTCTGTCTTGAAATTTGACCGCACGCGATATACGCTCGGTCTCTTTACAGATTTGGCCTTTGGCGAAGTTTCACACCACCTATATATAGGGTCACTCAACGCCGTGTGGCAGGCTGTGTCGGCGATGCACCAGGGAGATGGCCACCTCCTCTGCCTGCTACGCTCTGGAATTTTTCCCGCTAGCTGCCGTCCTTGTAGCACTGGTCGACGCCTCGATGACGACCGCTGCGAATGCGTTTTGTTGGTATTCAGCCACGTCCATGTACCTCACGTACGCGTCGTTGGCGTGCAGGTCGATGATAGCTCTGACACTCGCCGCCCTTCTTCCCTTGTACTCGGGATTCATGTTTGCAGCGAGCGAGAATAGAGACGTGAGAAGACGTCAAAGGCGGCCGATGTGGCCACGCCAATCTTGCTACTTTGTTTCAGGCCTCAAGAGGAGCCGTGGCGGCTGCCAGTGTCCGACACGCCAGGCACGTGTGTTCGTTCTGTTCTCGCTGTTGACGAAAGCTGCCACGTAGTCTTCAGTCATTGTAGCAGCTTCCCGGAAGTTCAGCCGTAGCATGTCGCGGGCCGGAACTTCAGCTGCGGGAGACGTTGAGGTAGATGGTGGTGACTGCTTGCAAAACGTACAACGCGTTCAGTTCGGTGGAGTCACCTTCGGACATTGTCGACGGCGATGCCTCAGCGATCGGAGGGGGGGGGGGTGCAATAGCGGGCATGAGTATGGCCGTAGTCGTGGCAGACTCTAAGGCGTGCGGCGAGCTTGCCATCGTGGAGCCTGACCTGCCTGAGTTGTCTCGGGCGGTGCAGGTCGAGGAAGACGTGCAGGTGGCAGGCACGTGCGACGGACCTGCGTTCGTGGGCTCCAAATGGACGCACCTCTCGGTGCTGAGATCAGTCGAAGTGGGAGCGTCGTCTATTTTGTCGTCGTAGTCAGGTGCAGGATTGGATGTCCCTGCGACCGGATCTGAGGTAGGGGGAGTCGTAGCAGGGATAGCGAGGTCGCGGTCAATGGATGGTTGCAAACCGGTGGATAGCGCACGCTGTGACGCAGCGGCAACCCCGAAGTCACAGGACTCCGGAAGAGGGCGATACGTGAGGTCGTAGCAGGTGAGCAGCACAGTACAGAAGGCGTCATATGTCTGCGAGCTTGTGTATAGATTTCTCAGCAAGATGGCTTGCATAAGCGGCTGGTCCGCGACGCCATCCACAGTGAGAACGGCGTCGAGCCGCATGAGCCATGCCTGGGGTAAGGTCGGGTGGAACGGCGGCACTGCCAGGAAGAGTGGTGGAAGCATGGTAGCCGGTAGCTCGTCGAAGGGCATTTCCTTCGGGCCACCACTGTAGCGCCGAGAGAAGAGAACGAGCTCCCGCGCCTGCGTGTCGGATGCTGGCAGCCGCCATGGCTCCGCTTCAGGTCTCAAATAAAGTGGCGAGAGCATCACGGACCCGTCGGCCGCCTTCGACGTCATCTCACGTCTCTCTACTGTCACCGCGACAATGTTCTTCGGAATGGGGTAGCTTCTAATCTGGCGTCGGACCTTTTCGGGAAAGGGGAGCTTCATCTCTGCTTCTCTCTAGCATCTTATTCCCAGATTTTCCAGTATCTTCCTCCCGGCTTTGGTTGTGGACAGCCGCTCCAGTTGAGCGGTTCATTGCGCTTAGACTATTTCTTCGAGCATGTGGTGTATCCCGAGTTGTCAGATGCGGGTCGTGCTCGTGGACACGAACAGGCCCAGCGCCGTCTTATACGCTTTTCTCCTGATAGCGTTGAATTGTTGCGTTCGTATTGCAGCCAATCTGTGGTATGCTGCAACACACGCGGGGTGGCTGATGGTTAACATTTGCATGATCAACACGCACCGTACGGCGGCCTACCCAACGCGAGGCTCGATTGTGCTATCGACGTCTAGAATGTACGCGAGGCCCTGCGTGACCTCAACAGCCGGTCGGTGGTTGGCCCAGACCTCGTCACGAACAAGGCTCTCAAGCACCTCGACGAAGGCTTGATTGAGAACCCACCAAAATACTTCAACAAATGCTAGGCAGAGGGCAGGCTGAAGAACCAGTGTAAGACAGCCAAGACCATTCTGAATCCCAAGCCGGGGAAGCCACTGGATACGGACAACCTCCGGCCCATTTCGCTCACATCCTGTGTGGGCAAGGTGGTGGAGCACGTCCTGGAGCACAGAGATGTGCCCGTCAATGGTAATCGGCTACAGACAGCACCTGATCGTGCAGCTAGGACGCGATGGTGCAGCTCAAATGCCAAATCATCAACCGGGCCGGCTGCGCCCGCGATAACAAGGCAATCCTGGGGCTCAACCTGCAGAGCACCTACGACAAGGTGAAACACTCGGCGATCCTGTCCTAAGTCTTCAAACTCAACATGGGGGAAAGATCTTACAACTATATTAAGAATAGCTGGGAAAGGCAACATTTACGCAGGCAGCAAGCTACTCCGGAGCACCGGAGGCAAGAGCTCGGAAAACAGCGGTAAAACGGCAACGCCGACAACAGCTGCTACCCCGAAGTTGAGGGCGCGGGAAGCGGTGGCTTAACGACAAGAAAAAAAATCGCAGCATATCCACGGACTGAATCACGATGAGCGGAGCGAAGCGCCTGATTGTCTGCCCATCCGTCCGTCCGTCCGAGTCCGTTCGTCCGTGTCTGCCCGTCCGTCCGTGTCCGTTCGTCCGTCCGTCCGCCCGTCCGTCTGTGTCTGTCTGTCTGTGGATATGCTGTGCTGGATACGCCACCGGAAGGACGCGGGATTGCCGCAGACCATAAGGAGCTTCGTCCCTAAAACATTGCACGCAAGTATGGTCACTCATTTACATGCGCGAGTGGGCAATGTCATGGGTGATTTACGGTGAGAACGATTCTATGTGCTTCACCTACTAGTCATCATTCACTTCGTGATGATGCCTAGATATCTGTTTCTTTTTTTCATTTCCTTGCTTTAGTTGGAGGCAACGTTTCCAGATAGCTAAAAGCAATCTAACAGCGTTTTATATTGCTAAAAAATCTTTTGAAAAGCGAGATAAATTTACACTAGCTATGTGAAGCTTAAACATGGCGTAGCTAGGTGACCACAAGGTCTTAACGTGGCCTTCTTGACTGACTCTAGGTCTTTCCTCGGCGTAGACAAAGCAGAGTCGAACTGTATACAGACTAGCATAGATCATTCAAAAATGTCTAAACTCCAGCACCAGAACTAACTTCCATAGCTGGCTGAGGTACACCCGGTAGAAGCGCGGGATTTTCGGAACCCGTACTCGGCTCGCACGGTGAGCAAACTCGGTGCGGCGGATGTGCGGAATTTCTCCGTCGATGTGCGCGGATGATAAGCAATTGTTGCGAAGGGTTTTTTTTGGAAAAACTGCGTTTTACTTCGAGATTTAAAGAGGCACTGACCTTCAATTTCAATATCATAGTGTGCCGTTCATTCGATTGCTCGGTGTGCATGGTTCTTCTTGACCAGCCACTTTTTTAAGTGCGTCCATCGCGTGGACGTTTTGTCTCAACTGGTGTGCACTGTGATTTTCCATATAGATCCCACTGCTTGTACCGGAATACTGTGTACGTCATAACTCTCATATTACACCCGGGCGAGCATGGCCGAAACATGCGTCTGAGGGCACCCCTTCATTGCTGCTTGGAAGG